TTAAAAGAGAAGCATAAAATAAAGTTAACTGTCGTTAAGATGAGAATGCTCGAGCGGATGAGTGGTTTAACACTTCGAGACAAAATGTGAAATGGATATATTCATGATATGGTTGGCGTTGCTCTAGTGACGGACAAGAATAGATAGAGTCGTCTTTGATGGTTTGGTCACATTAAATGCCTATCATCTGATGATTCAAGTAGGGTTTGTTTGGGGCAGCTGTAACTATTTGAAGAAGCAAGTGTCAAGCTGCCGAAGGAGAAACTACTATTGAGAAAGCTGCGATAGCTATTACAAAAAAAAATGAAAAATTCAGACCACAGCTTTCTAGCAGTCACTGTAGTTAGTCAAGTCTGGTGAGAAAAAATAACTTTCAACTGCAATTTTTTGAGAGTACAAGCAAAAAACAATTTTACCAAACAAAAAAAACTGTGATGCAGCACCGCAACACCACCCCAAATGTCAAACGCACCGGTAGTCGACCCCACTTAGTGGGATAAAGGCTTATTGTTTTCGTTGTAGTGGCCTTAAGACATGATTTTCTTGCTCTGTTATAATTAACTTGATCCATTGGAGCTGATTCCACAATAGTTGTAATCATCAGGTAGGTTGATGTCTACATATCGTTATCATACATTCATTATTATCAAAATCAAAATAATGAGCTATAGGTCTCATGGGACTAAAAACATTTTTCATCAACCACTAAAACACGACTTTATGTATGTGAATTTAGATTGCTCTAGCCAAAATAAATAAAACTTCTTAGATGTTGTTTGGTTTGTTCAAAAGTTAATAGTGAAAAATAAATGTAATGCAGAAGTAGAATAATTTATTTGAAATATTTTGGAGTTCTTTAGTTCACTGTAAAATAAATATAAATATTTTTTTTTTTTGAAGTAGATTGAAAACAATGTATTTCAAAATATATAAGGTATTATTGTTGGGTAGCGGGTGGCAAGCGACATCCAATGGATGGACAACAGCAACTGGCGGCAGTGGGCAGCGTCGACCGGCAACAAATGGTGGTGACTAGCAAATACGGAAATGAGAGAGGGTGACAGTCGGCGGCTATGGCCGGCTATGGCCAGCAGCGGTCGGTGATTGTGGTCGATGGCGACAAGTAACGAGCTCCGAATAGAAATCGGTTGCGGCGTCGGCGGCGACTGGAGGCTATGGCTAGTAACTGGGCAGTCGATAACATTTTACATTAATGAATGATGTAAATTTAGAATTCAGCCAAAACTGATGAATACTAAAATCAACCAAAATAAACTAAGGTGTAAATTTCAAAATCATTGTTATTTTACATGTATTTGTAATTCTTCAAATCAAATACTCAATTTCCTAAAATCCCTTGCAGTGCACACTAATTTCTCCCAACCAAATAGCCCCTTAGTAATAATTAATTGAAATTGAGGTAGATCTCAAACAATTATTAAATATCCTCCCATAAAACTAAAGATAATCAAATCATGAAAACAAACTCCCTGTGATATAAGAGTAAAGCAATGTACATCAAATGCAAGTCAAACTCTAAATTTGTGGAAGCATAATGCACATATCCCCACGATGCTAATTATAAATATGACATTTTTAATATATAATTAATAGAAAATGAGGGTTGATGAGGAGGAAAGCCCATCTAGCTATTAACTAATTGTAATATAATTTTTATGGGCTCTGAAGGCTCACCAACCCAATTAGCATCGGAAATGAATTTTCAAAATACATTGAGTAGCAATTAAAGCCCCATTCAAAAATTTTGCCCTTACAAAAAATTTCATGTTCCTGGTTCAAAGCTTCATATACATGTCCCATGGCTTACCCCCCATGCAATAAAAAAGATTACATTAAAAATAAATGCAACAACCTAAGGTTAATTCTCATATTACAATGGATACCCACTTTGTATGAAATGTTGTGTTGTTTTAGTTTTGGATTGTCACAACAATACTCAAAGGAGATTTTTTTTTTTTTGGGTGAGGGATGATGGCAATAAATTTGGAAATTAACGGTTCCATTGCTCAAAGTCTAATAAAAATCTCGGTCTAAATAATCCAAGGACATTGCTTTTTTCTCTGCTTGCATTCAAGTATGCCCATCATTCATGAAGGCGAGCAGCTCCATGGCCATGGACTAAGATGTTTCGGTCTCTATTATTATTTTTTTGCGCATGTTCAGATTCTTAGTTTCAATGTGAATATCATTAAGGAAGTCAAAGCACATAGATATATTTGTCTTGACGGAAGCAACAATGATTCAGGGCCCTCCAGTTATGATGTTTAGTAATTGCATCACAATAATATATGAGAAATAATGCCTTCTAATATTTGATTGTATTTGTTTTCTAATTAGGATAGAACATGATTGCACCCATTATAACGCTGGCTGAGGCCTTTGAATTATTCTTGCATAATAGCAACTCCCAAAAAAGTCTTTAGATATAGGAGGTGATCACACCACTAGAAAACATGTGCATAACACCAATTAGGAATTGGATTGACTCCATTGTAAATTTGCAACTTGTATTTGAGATCCAGTGACACGAAATTCATTGTGGTTTGGCAACCCTTACAGATACTTATTACTGGGATACTCCATTACCAGATTTTATTTTATCATGTTTTAGGATAGTGAGCTAGAGCATTTTGGCAACTAAATTTGTATATGAGCGTTCTTAAAATTCCAACTCAAAATCTATTTTCATTACCTTAGTTTGAGATAGAAAATGGTACCTATAATTTACCATACCTTATAATCCTGGATAAATTAGCAAGTCCGTAAGACCGTAGGCACCTACATTCATTTAGCCTCGTTATCATCATTGTTTTGGTAAATTCTTCTTTATCACTATAAGTAGGTCTACTAAAAAAAATAAGAACCTCACTTAAATCTAATCAACTGCAATTAAAAGAAGCCCTAAATCATGTTAATTCTCCGCTTCTATAACATTTTAGATTGTTTTGTAACATTATGGATACTTAAAAAAATTTTACAAAAGGAAATTGGTGATTTTGAACTTATACTCAATTGTAATAGCTTGGAAATAACTTAGGACATGTTTGCAATTTTTTATTTATTTTTAATATCTTATGGAATTAAAAACAATGCATTGGGACAATTTTCTAGGCCATATATTTTTTATTCCAAAAAATTATAAAGAAACTTATGCATATTATCAAACCTACAATATGGCATCATCTAGTTGGCCAAGGGATTGGATTAATCACCCAAACATCATACATCCTTTTTTGATCATCCGAACAATGTAGACGATCTCCAAGTAAATGAACAATAAGAACATACTAATGGCTCATTTAGACAATACATTGGCAAGGGTTATATTTGAACTAGTATGAATTACCATTTCTGCAATTTGAACGAAGATGAGAAAACAAGATCTCCCATTCCTTGTCATTTTTTGGGCTCTAAGTACAAATAATAGTGCAGAGAGGTTGATACTTGACCCCATTTAACACATTTTGTGTGATTCGGTAAAAGCATTTTTCACTCTAACATTGGCAATGAGTTTGTGATAATTTTGTATAGCACATTTCAATTATTTTTTTCATTTTAGTTCAAATACAATCCATAAGAAATCCAACAATAATTCCACTTAGCCCTTTGATGCGGAGGAATACTTTTCTCCAAATTTGGACACATCACAAAAATATTCGCAATGCTCTAACAACACCTGCAAGGGGGTATCAAAAACAATTCAGGCCAACCAAAATGTGCTGCAAAATTCATGCAATTATATGGTTGGGTGAAACATCTAGTCAAATGGCATTCAGTAGCATCTCTAAAATTTTGTAGGTGATTTATGAAGTATCTAAGTGAAACAATACTCACCATTCATCAAAATTCATGCACGGGTAACATAAACACCTTTGATTATATCACGCTCCCATAAGCAGTCAAGCAGATGCACCAAAGCGAACAACAATAAATGAATAAAGATGAGGGGAAGCTAAAGTTATGATTACCACTATACGTAAAAAATCACGACGATAGTTTAACAAGTAATCATCATCTCCCTTTTCCATTTTTTTACCTAACATTGGAGTTAAGGACCAAAAGAGAGAATTGGGTGAAAAAAAGATGAAAAAAAATATATAAAAAAAGGGGGGAAGAGGGGCAAACTGAGGTGATGTGAGATTGGAGAACATGGCATTCCATTTAAAGAGATAGGTTCCTTGTTGAAGGATGGCATGGCATAATGTTTATATATATATATATATATATATAAACATTATATATATATATATATATATATTTTAGTTCTTTTTTCTTTTCTTTTTTTCTATCATTTTTTGTTCTCTTTTTATGATTTGGGCAACGTAATGAAGCTTTGGCGTAGGCAATGACTTGTCTTCTTATGCCACTTTCACAAGGACATCAATGTGGATATCCTCCTATAATAGCAAGCAAGTCCGACCAAGTATGAACTAGGCTCACTCTAATGTTGAATCATGGAATTATGATAAAAATCATTATTGAGCTACTTGACAATTGCATTAAGTAATTATTTCAGTTTTTCATTGTTTATTGTACACTACACTTAACAGAAGTGTACATTGAACTGATTCTAGAAAACAGTATTTGAAGTCATATTACAAAACAATTTTACCAATAAATGTTTTCCTTATTTCCTAGACTCAAGTAAATTGCAAGTAATTTTTCATGTTTGAATGTGAAGTTCGTGCTCACCAATCTCATATGTAATTTTGTTAAATAGAATGCATATACATACACTTGTAATATTTTTATGCATACCTATAGACATGGCATACATTTAAGTAAATATTCTTTAATAATTTCAATTATTTTCAATTTTACATATTGTTCTAATTTCATAAATGGCAAACCTTGTGGAAACTGTACTCAATTTAGAGGTTTTTTTGACATTTTATGATTATTTTAATCTTTGAAAGAGAAAAGGGGAACAATTTTAATTAATTAAGGACAGAGAAGACAGTGAGAAGTGAATCAAGTACCTCATATGCCGCACTAATCTCTTTAAATTTTTCTTCTGCGCCAGGGCTCTTATTCATATCTGGATGATACTAGAATTAAAAAATAAAATCAAATTAAAAAATGCAAAAAACCTCAGAAAATAGTAACGTCTATATGACTCACTTTTTAGCCAATATCATTCATGTTTCACGATATGAGACAATGGAACTAAAACGTAATATCAAACCCTAAAAGCAGAGCAAAATTCATAAATGATTATAAGCAAGGGGAAAAACAGACAAATTTCATTCAGCAAAAAGCGTGAGAAAGTGAAAAAAGAATTACTAATGGGGGATAGCTACCCAGAAACTAATTGAAAAATGAAATATTTCAAATTAAATTGTAAGCTAAGGGTCACATGGATAGGATTATGGAAGTAAATGCTGGAAAACAGGCTTTCATAAAAACCATGTCGATTTTGGGATCACTAATGTCATCTTGTTCTGTGTGAAACTTGTTTCCAGTCCAATTTATCTTTCTCATAGACTAGCTAAAGTTAACATTTTCATCCCTCGCAATCGTGGTTAAAAGTCCAAACTCCAAATAATGTTTTACTTTATAATTTATTAAACCTATATACAGGCCTCTTCAGAAATCAAATGCATAATGAAGTTTCCAAATACAACCTTACTTAATCACATGATAAAACTATCTCAGCAGTAAGGGAAAAAGGAACCTTGAGCAAACCTCTAGTCAAAGTGATAAAATTGGAATTTCTTTGAAAACAGAGTGGTTATATCAAAAGAATAAAAAGAAAAAGAACTCATTATCGCCAAAAATGATACTTATAATCGGTAGGTTGATAGGGAAAATAGTTCATTGAGCTAAAAATAATATGGAAAATCAAGATTAAGGATATTGAAACTTTATGTCACTAGAGAGAAAAAAAATTCAAAATATAGATGAAATGCCTAATGTAGAAAGGGAAAAAAAAACAATAAACCATAAATTAAAATACTGAAAAGACCGGCTAGAAGACGACCATGCAATGTAAAGATTGCAAGTTTCCTCAATTCAAATATAACAGCGATCTGACAAAAATTCACCAACCTACCAAAGAAGATAGTGGACATAAGACCTAAAAAAGGAGAAGGAATGGAGCTAATTAGGTAAGTATTAAGAGACATACATTCACTGTTAGGCTGCTACTAGAGTTCGAACCTAAAGAACAGCAAGGTTATTAATATTTCTTTGAATGTATGAATGAGGTCTTCAGAATGTGCATAAAGTGATCAATATTTGATAACCACCTAAAAAATAACATCTGGGCTAATATGTTTGAGGCATAGTATCCCTTTACAGTAACTAAAGAGTAGACAATAGACAGTTTTTTATCAACAAGGTAAAGCATCAATTTAAAATTTTATCAAGTCAAACTATGTTATAATTTAAGTCTATATCAACGCACAAATGATAGAGAATAAACATAATGATCACAAACACAATGGCAGGTGCTAAATAGAAAAAAAATCAAGCAGCTATTTTTTTTCAAAAACTAAGATACATAAAAATAAGCATAAATCTGCCTCAACCAACTTTTCGAGGCCATATCCACTTAAAGCATCATGCTTCTAGGCGTCATGGCTAGCCTTAACACAATAATTTCAAGAGAAAATATTGCAATATAGTGCTTACTGAAACTATTTGAAGTCTTTTTGAGCACTTATCATAAAGTTTAATAGTATAATACTAAGTGGAAATGCAAATATGAAATAATTTTTGAAACAAAACCTTGTGATTATATACAAAAACTATGTTTTTTCTTTAGATGAAAACCATCAATGCAGCGTATTTGTAATGCTACTCGACTTATCAGATGGCACAATTTTGTTCTAGACTTACAAATCAATGAGCATAGAGTAACAACCGATGCCTTAGTATATTAGTGGTGCTAGATGTTCGATATGATGTATTATGTATTACAGGTAGGAAAAACAAAGAATGGCAAGGAAAGAAGTGTGGAAAAATATGGCTTCTGCAATAGAGCAGCTCCTTTTAGACTGTTTTAGTGTAGCTTATGAAGGTTCGTTAAAATATTATTACAGGCACATCTCAATTCTTACATCTCCATGGTTTTGTGCTGACGCTTACTCTACTCTGCTGCGCTTGTTTCTAAGCTTTTATACAAATTATCCTGCACTAATTTTTTTTTCCCAATGTCTTTGCATCATCTTTTAAATGGACATGTCGATAGTGTAGAAGATTTCTGAAAAATTCGTGGTGGCTACAGTTTTGGAGTAATTAAGGAAGGAGATAGAGTCATATTAGATTTTGCTTTAACGTATGATTTTGTTATTACTAATACTTTATTCAAGAAAAGAGATGAGCATCTTATCACTTTTAAGAATGGATCTAATAAAGCACAAATTGATTATTTTCTTATTAGAAGAAGAAATCATCGAGATTGTAAAAATTGTAAGGTCATCCCGAGTGAGGGTTTTAAGTACCCAACATCAATTATTAGTTCTGGATTTTAAAAAGAAGAGTTGTAAAATAAATAATACCATGATTCATCATCGTAAAATTATATGGAGGTACCAAAAAGACATAAATAAAATTATTTTTATGAGTAAAATTGAATATTTTAAAATTTGGGTTGTTCGTGAAGAAGCAAATGCTATGTGGGATAAAATAACAAACACTATTAAAGAAGTGGCAAAATATGTACTTGGAGAATCAAAAGTAAAAATAAAATATAAGAAGTTATGCTATAAAAATTGGTTTAAATATAAATTTTTAAAAAATTGGGAAAAATATTAAACGGCCAGCAAAGAGTCTAAAAGAACTATCTGTGACGCTAAAAATGCTGCTTATAATGACTTTTATAATATATTAGACACCAAGAAGGGTGAAAAATATATGTATAAACTTGTCAAACAAAGAGAAAAGAAAAGTTAAGATTTAACTCAAGTGTATTAAAGATGTAAATCAAAAAGTGTTTTACTTAGATAAAGATGTTCAACATAGGTATATGAGTTATTTTGATAAACTTTTTAATGAAATATCTGAAAATATGATTGGCCTTAGCGATCTTAATCTTGTTAATAATAATAAAACAATTCATTTTTACTGTCGCATTAGTAAAAAAGAAGTTGTTGGGGTTTTAAAGAAAACAAAGGGTGAAAAATTTGTAGGACTTGATGATATCCCAATTTAAATGTGGAAATATTTAGAGGATTTGGGAGTTTCTTGGCTTACTAAACTCTTTAATATCATTTTAAAAAATTAAAAAGAACCTGAGGAGTGGAGGAAGAGTATAGTGGAGGAAG